GGGATAGGCCAGGTAATAATTAAAAAAGTTTAAATGATTTTTTAGATTTATATTAAATATATTTACTTTTTTAGAATTGAGGCACACTCGTAGGAGAAATTGTAATTTGCCTATTACAGACAAATACGAAACAGAAGGGAAAACCATGATGAGCCTGCGAGGCAAAACTGAAATAGATAGCAAAATCACGACGTGCCTGCAAAGTTATAAAAATTTTGGTTTTTTTTCTTATCGTTCGTTTAATTTCATTTTTTTTTTCGTATTGTTCATTTTTCTTTTCATATCGTACGTTTAATTTTGTTTTTTCTTTTTCATTTTTTCATTTCGTTTCATTTTCCTAATTTCATTTTTTCATTTTGTTTTGTTTTTTCATTTCGTTTTATTTTTCTAATTTCGTTTTATAGTTTCGTTTCATTTTCCTAATTTCATTTTATAGTTTCATTTCATTTTTTCATTTCGTTTCATTTTTTAATTTCGTTTTATAATTTCGTTTCAGTTTCTTAATTTCATTTTTTTCGTCTCGTTTAGTTTTCTTTTCAATTCATTTTTATTTTTATTTTTATTTTATTTTATTTTATTTTATTTTAAAAAAAGATTTAAATCCTGATTGCTGATACATTATAATCAATTGAACTTTCAAAGATAATAAAAGAAAAATTCTTTTTGGTTTTTTAATATAATTAACTATTGATATTTGTTTTATTAAATACTCTGATAAATTTGGGTTAATCTGGATAATTTGACTTGACTCACATTCTTAGGTCAAGTTAATATTAACATTTTTTGATAGCTCATGTCCTGTATGATCTGATTGACAGGTCAGGTCATATATTTCTTAACCCAGGTTTTGACCTGAATTAATCCGGAAGATCATTAAAATTGATTTGATTATCTAAATCTTTTTTTCGCCTGATATTCAATCAACTTTTCTGCAATGTCTATTGATTTAACTAAACCAATAACTCTACTAACTTGATGTCTTAAAAAAAGAAAAGCGTTGCACTTGTAAGAGGATCTGTAGTGAGATATATGAAGAATTGCAAATTGTTTCACCTAATATTAATAACATTAATTCTATTAAGCCTAATCTTCGAGTTATGTTGCATAGTGATCTTTTTACTAAAGATCTCTTTGAAGAAAGAAATCTTTCACCAAATCATAAAGATGCCAAAACTCATAGGGAAGTTTAATATCTTAATTGTCTGTAAGTAAATAAATTTCTATAATGATACTACCAATCCGTTATACATAAATATTAATTATTAAATATATTTCTTTTAAAATTGTAGAAATCAAAAAACCTGAAACTGTAAAATTAGTGATTTTAATACAACTAATCTTTGGCGTCATGTAGAAGTTCATCATCCAGAAAAAGATCCAAGGCCTAATAAAAGAGCAAAAAAAAATTCAGAAGGTCAAAGTACATTAAATGAATTGTAGGCCAAATAGAAATTCTACCTGTAGTAAGTGTAATTAATTATTATAATTTATAAATTATAAATATATTTTTACATTATTATTTATTATTTATTATTATTTATACAATTATTCTTAAGTTTACACAAACAGATTTTTGAAAGTTTCTTACTAAATGGATAATTGCTGATGATCAGCCATTTACAACAACAACTGAGAATAAATATTTTCAAATATGGTAAAGGTCTTGAATTCAGATGCATTAGTTCCTAAAGCAGATACTATTAAAAATGATATAATGAAAAATCTTGAAGAGGAGCGAAAAAAAAGAGAAATTTTGTTTCAGATAAATAATTGTATATGTAAAAATAATTATAAATTCTTCTCAAACTTATATTTATAAATATTGATAGAATAATCCTGGCAAAATTTCATTTGCTCTAGATACATGAACATTAATAAATGGTTATGGATTTTTAGCTATTACAATACATTGGATTTCAAAAGATTGAAAACTTTGTGATAGTTACTTAATTTTACAAAACTTTCTGGTCCTCATTCTGGTGAAAATATTTGTAATACATTTGTAAAAAGTTGTGATGATTTTTGAATTTTAAAAAAGGTAAATTTTCTATATATTTTATTAATCTTTAATCTTTGAGAATGTATGATAATAAAATTATTTATTTATAACAGATTTTTGCAATTATAAGTGACAATGCTTCAAACAATGATACTTTTATGGAATATTTAGAAAATACTTGTCAAAATAAAAGTATTGATTTTGATGCTATTGGTAATCATTGTCGTTATATTGCTCATGTTATGAATTTAGCTGTATAGGATATTCTGGAATAAATTAAAGCAGGGGAAGCTGAAATTGAAGATATTATATTAGATTTGGAAATAACTATTGGAGATGTAATTCCAAAGGTAATATTTTATATTTTATAATATATTATTAAATATTAATTGCTATTTTTAAAGTATATTAATTATTAATTTATTATATTTTAATTAGCTTTGCAAACTTATAGTTAAAATACGATCATCACCACAACGTCGAGAACGATTTGTATGTCAAGCTGAAGCAGCTAAACTTAAAGAACTTCAACTTATTTTAGATGTGAAAATAAGATGAAATTCTACACATGATATGTTTGAACGTGCACTAAAAATGCATGAGGTTAGAGTATACATTATTATTATATATTATTGATTTTTTTATATTTTAATATTAGATTTTATTATATTATTGTTACAGGCATTAGATACAATTACAAGTTCAGATAAAGAACTTCAAAAATTTGAACTTAATGAAGACGAATGGAATAGAATTGAAGAGGTTGTATCTATTTTAATGATAAGCAAATTATTGATAATATTTTTAGGTTAAACTTTAAAGGTTTAATTATAGTAATTAAATTTATTTTTTATATTATATATAGATATTTGTAAATACAACTAGTGTAATGTCTTTTGCAAAATATCTAATGATTTTTTCAGCTGTACTATTATATAATTATTTAATTGACGAACTTGAGGAATATTGTGATGATCATAATAATTCTAATGATATAGTAATTGCTGTTAAAGCAGGTATAGAAAAGTTAGAAAAATATTATACAAAAACAGATGGTACAACTATTTATACAGTTGCTACTGGTAAGTTAAATATTAAATTTACTTTATTATTTTTTAAATTGATAGTAATAGATAATTGAATTTTATAATGCTTGATTCACAACTAAAATTAGGTTATTATAAAGATTATAAATAAAATCAAAATTTATTTGTATTGTTAAAGAAACAGTTGTTAATATTTATAATACTAAATATGAACCTCCTGAAAATCTAAGTAACAAAAATACTAATAATGAAAATAGTGATTTTTTTAACCATATGTTTGAAAACAGAATAAAGGCTAACAAAATGAAGTGGATTTATATTTAAATGCATCTCAGGCTGAATCAAAGCAAGATATTTTACTTTGGTAGAAGGTATAATACATATCTTATTAAATTATATAATTTCAATTTAATTAACATATATAGTTTTTCTAGGCAAATGAAGCAGTATATTCATACTAGCCAAAATGGCTAGAGACTACATTGCAATTACAGGTAAAAGTTTTATATATAATATTATTAGTAAATTATTAAGTATTAACATTACATTAACTAATTAATTTGTTTTGATAATTAACAAAAGTAACAAAGAGCATTTCTGGTGGAGCTGATTTGGTAGCTGCTAAAAGATGTAGTTTAAAAGCAAATACAATTAATGCATGCATGTGCTTAAAATCCTGGCAGAAATAAAGTTTTATTAAATTTCTACCAATACAATTAATAAAATTTTGAATTTAATTAAACTCTTACTAATTGAATATTAATAAATTCTATTGTGATGTAAATATTTTATTTTTCAAGTTTTAAATAAAGTTCATATTAACTGAATGTCAATTTACGATAGTTTTTAGTTGTGCAACTAACTTGACGATCATGATCATTATCTTATAGATCATTCTTTTTGCAATAAAACTTTTAATTGGAACAATTTAGAAATTGATAAAATATATTATAATTAACAAAAAAATTTAATAAAAACTCGAGTTTGATTTTGGTTAAACGAGTTAAATTATACTCAGGTCAAGTCAGATTCAGGTTATAAAAATATGTTAACCTGAATATTTATGGGTCTTTTCTTTTTTATTCAGTCAAGTCAAATATATTCTCTAAACCTAACCTGACTTAACCCAATAGGAGCACTAGTTTTATTATTTCTATTCTACAAGGGTTCATATTTTATTGTAAAATTTCTGAAATTTTATATAATATATTGCAATCTGAACATATTACATATATATTTTTACTTGTTTATCAATTCCTATTATTTTTTTTACTATATAGGAAAGAGGTTTACTAGGAAAAAGGGGCTTTGAGAATTTTTTATTAAAATTTTAATTTTTATTGCATTTTAATTTTTGATAATGTTAGATTAAAATGCAATAAAAATTAAAATTTTAATAAAAAATGCTCAGAGTCCCTTTTTCTTAGCAAACCTCTCATATAATAACTTGTAGGAAAGTCTTTAAAATATGATTAAGATGACTAAAGTTGCTTGACTAAATTCATTTTAGATTTGGCTAAATATTTAAACCTTTAATTTCACTAATTTTTACTAAATGTTTAATACAATATTACTATTTTTATAAGCTTTGATATAGTTTACCTTTTTCTGAATTTTGCAGATTTTTAATAAGATTTTAATATAATTTAACCAAATTTTATCTTTATTAAAGATGATGCTGTAATTATCAAAAAATGTCACAATTATATTATAACTTATATCACAATTAAATTTATTAATGTCACAATTATGTTATAACTCAAATAAAATTTAAAAATAAATATGAGAACTATCTTTAATTTTTACTATTTAGACATCTGTCTAAACTCTGAATTTTGTCTAGCAACTTTAAATGTGACTGATCATTATCAAATAAAACATATTATAAAACTTAATAAGTGAAATAATAACAATATCAGAAAAGGCAAATCTTGCTTGAAATTTGAATGTAATGTTTATAATAATATTAATAGATTATTAAAGTTAATATTCATGTTAAAATATTCATAATCTGATTTATCAAAATCATCAAAATCAGAAGCAGTAAATCGTTCAAATGAAATATTATCTTTACTTAACTTACAATCATTATCACTAAACCTATGATCATCTTCTGTTATAAATATATTATTCATCAATTGGATTAGTTCTAATTTATCATAAATAAGATCACAAAATTTATATTATTATTTTCATTTTTTTGATACATCAACTACTTTCTTATCAATATGAATTAGCTTATTACTAAAATAATCATCAGATAAATTTTGATATAGATCAACTGATTTGATTCTTTTTTTTCCTTTCAAAGTTGATGATAATCTTATATTGACCAATTATTTCTAATATTTCTTAACCAGATAAAATGCTAAGATTCAGAAGTAATAATACAAAACCTTTTTAATTCTTACTGGTATTTTTTAATATTCTAAGATCTACTATGATAATGAAAATACATTTGTATTCAACTAAATATTTAGTTTAGAAGTATATAATTTTTTGCAAAACCTTTATTATTAAATTTCTTTAATTTTGATATATTTGTAATTTTAGAAATAATAGTACAATTTTTCATGTTATTTTTATAAAAATAAGTTCTTTTTAATTTTGTTATATTTGTTAAAAAAATCTAAAGAAAGAAAAAATATTTTACTGATTTCTATAAATACTTGAGTCTTATTTATATATTTATGAAAAGCATATTTTTAATGTGTATCACTGGTCGAAATCAAAAAAATTGCCATTTGCCATTCATTAGCAATTCAGACTAAATTCAAAAATCGATTAAAAATCAGACATCATATTTATAACTGATTTATGATAGATTAGAGTTGAGCCAAAAATTAACTCCAATTGGTCTAATAGGACAATTATCCAAAAAAGAACGATTTAATATCGTTTTAATCAGATGATGCAAATCTGATAAGAACAATTAAAAAATCATTCTTTTAGGACGATAAATCATCATTCAATAAGAACGATCAAAAAAATAAAAAAAATATTACTTTAGAATAATAAATCATTATTCAATAAGAATGATTAAAAAATTGTTCCTTTAAAATGATAAACCAATCATTCATTAAAAATAATCAAAAAAATCGTTCTTTTGGAATGATAAATTATCATTCTTATTAAATGATTTGAAAAATCGTCTCTTTAGGATGATAAATTATCGTTCAATAAGAATAATTTAAAAAGTCATTCTAAAGGGATGATAAATCGATCGTTCATTAAGAACAATTAAAAAAATCATTCTTTTAGGATGATAAATTATCATTCTTATTGAACGATCAAAAAAATCATCCTAAAGGAACAATGAATTATCGTTCATTAAGAATGATTTAAAAAATTGTCCCAAAGGGACGATAAATCATCATTCAATAAAATGATTTAAA